CGAATGAAGACGAAGTGTGCATCCAACACCCGTCAATAATGAACTGAATAAAAAAAATTTATGCGTGGCAGTTTGATTTTGTCCGAAATAAACAATATTTTTCAAATTTTTTTAGCTTATAATAAAAAAAGCTTCCTTCTAGGTAAGCTGTTTTTTAAGCTCGCTGTAGTCGGTCAATTTTGAGCTATATTTTGCTGGCATTAATATCATGTTCGTGAATCCATTTCGAACATACAGATCACATTGTTTTTCACACCACCCTTCTTTCCCATGAAAAATATTAAGCCGTCTAAAAACGAAAGGAAATCTTTGCTGACATCTGCTGAAGTACAACAAAAACCCAGCTCTTCGTTTGTATTTAGAAGCTGAACGTCATACATTAGGTCGTCGTAGTCGTTTTCTACCGCAAGACTAGGAACACCCAGCCTTGATTCGTAAGCGTGAAGATAAAAAATTTCTGCCTTTTTTGCAGTAATCGCATGAGGAGTCATTTCCACTCAGGCCTGGGGTAATGATGAACGGATGGGACTTTCAGTGAATATTGGTATAAGAGTTGACGCAGATTCCAAATATTCGCTTGTTTTTTTAACAATTTTGAGCAATACTTTATTAAGTTTATGTCCAAAACAGAAATGGAGATGAGAGAAACGTTAAAACGCTGTGGAATCTGGGAAAATGTTTTCTCAGCCTGATCCAAAAACTGCTCGCAATTCAAAAAATTCGCAATTTGGCCTCGTAATCTTTTTTTTAAGGGTTGCTAATCAAAACGAAATAGCTGAGGCTCAGTTTTTTAGTTGGATTAAATATGACACGATTCAAATCATACCTTTTAAAAAATGTTTTGGATCATGCAAACATCATTTTCCACCACCAAATCTGCAAGGGAGAGAAGAATAATAATTTGGTCTAAGTTTTCCTGAATGTCAAAAAAAGATTTGTCAAAAAAAGATTTTTATTTTTGCTGAGCAGCGAAACATCAAATTTTGGGAGAAAAAACCGCCATCCTTTATGATAATTTCACTGACGGCAACTTGCAACAACACAGAGGAACAAGGAAAGGCGGTTGCTGGGCAAGTAGCAGAGAATGCTACAACCGTAGCCTGAAAAAATACAACAAAAAAGTTAGTGTTGTTTTTAGTGTCGCTTTTTGTCTGCGTGGTGTGATAAAAGGAGCTGAATAAAAAAACTGGAGGTTAGGTATAATCAGTCATAGTAAAGAAAGCAAACTGAAAAACAATGTTTTGTAGAAAACTTACTTCAAAAAAAAGTTCAAAATGTTTTCGAAACTTTTGCAGTTTTGCAGTTTTCTGAAAATTTTGATTCCAAAAGGCGCTAAAATAAACAAAATAAATTAAGGGTTTTTAGGTAAAAGTAAGTTTTTACGTTGTAAATTAGGCTAGTGTAAGCCTTTAAGCAATTAAAGAAAGACTGCCCGCTCGCTTAGTTCGCTCGAAATAAGACAAAAATAAAAAACTTCAAACCAGTTTTTCACAACACCGGAAAATTTGTTCAAATTTTTTTGATGTGGCTCGAATCACAAATGTAAGGGTTTTAATATGATATATCAATCAACCCAGTGCAATTAATAATTGCCGTACCTGATTTTGCGTGGTACCTGAACAGAAAAACACAAATAAAACACAAAGTTCCTCCCCAAATACAAAGTTCCTCCCCAAATACAAAGTTCCTCCCCATTTTTAATGGACTGAACAACAAAATAAACTCTTGATTAAGAAAAGAAACTGAACAAGGCAATCTGTTCATTTTAGTGATATAATTCAGCTATTTTAGAAAATTTAAGCTAATGTTTCCGTTAACTTGAGGCTTATTTTTTTTTTCGACAAATCACATACTAAAACGTTATAATTTGTTGCCTTTTTTCGCGTCACCTCGCTCTGCCGGCCGTTTTCAGGCATAAATTTTTTTGAACTTTTCAAAAGGGAAGGTTTGAGTTAGTGTTCTAGAAGATAAGCTTACACTATGGCGTCTTATACGAAGTAGAACTTCCTTTGTTAAGTTGTCGCACGATAGCTGGCATCAAATTGAGTTTTAAAAAAATGTACATTTTTTCAAACAAACTCATGTCGCAAAAATATTTGGGTAGCATAAAGTTTTTTCTTCAAACTTTTGGATTTTCATTTACGCAGCTGATACGTCGAAAAAAAAAACACTTTTCGGCATAATTTTTCTGGCGAAACGGCAAAACTAAAATAAATTTTTCAGCCAAACTTCCCTAGTCTCATTATTTAACAGCATTTTGGGCTCATACCGAACAAAAATATTAAATGATTTTGTTTAATTTATTGGAAACAAATTTCAAATTCAGGAGTAATTCTTAACACAATTGCGATGCTGCAAGCAAATTTCAAAAGTTTTTTGGCTGGTGTATTTAATTGAAACTAATCATGTTCTGACAAAAAAAGAAAGCGCTTTTTTTTCTTGACCGAAAACAACCACTTTAATTTTTTTTCCTCATAGAATTTTTGAAAATTTTATCACGAATTTCAATTGTCAATAAACTACTCCGAAAATATAAAAAAGTTATTTAGTAGAAAAAAAACAAAATAAGTGTTTTTCTAGGTAGAAATAAGTAGAAAGAATAAGTGTTTTTTTTTTCGGGGAAATAAATAAAGTTCAAAACGTTTTGCAAAATTTGCATACCTTTTTTATTTATTTATTTAGGGATAAAAAATTTCAATATTTTAATTTTTCAGTTTTCACAAAAACAAAAAAAATGTATTTCATCAAAAATTTTGTTACATTGGTCAATTTTGTTCCGACAAGGCCCATTTTCAAAAAACTCAGACCTGGTCACGCAAATTGCTATGCAAATTGCGCAAAAATGGCAAAACATATTATGCCAAAACCTCCATGAGCAAAATACCATACCAACCAATTTCATGTACCAAAATTTATCATACTATGAGATCCCATGCCAATTGCAACAGTCACAAAAACTATCAACAAAAAATACTTTTAAAGCATGGCCAGAAGTAAACCTAAAGTGATGATACTTAAGTTCGCGCTGTTCATGATCATTAAAAAATACTTTTAAAGCATAGCCAGAAGTAAACCTAAAGTGATGATACTTAAGTTCGCGCTGTTCATGATCAACGCAAATTCAAGATAACCAAGCACCAAACTCAAACGAATTCATATTTTGGACTAGCACACCCGCACTGACAAAAATGGTTTCGGATCGATTTAAATTGATTTTAAATCGATCCAAATCGATTAACAATGTACATTTTACGAAGTTAAATGGATTTTAAATCGATTTAAATCGATTTTTTTGAAAATTTTATGGCGATTTAAGTGTCTAAAAAATCGATTTAAATCGATTTGGATGGATTTTTCGACTCACTAAAATCAATGTTTTTGCTAACAAGGCGAAAAAAACACCCTTTAAAAAATTGTTGGATTTTTTTTATTCTCGATTTTTGGAATATAAACACTCGTGCCATATGTTATAAAATTCAATAAAATTATCCACATGAATCAGATTTTAAGCTCGAAAATAGGCAATGTAATTATAGAAAATTTTTGTAAATCCTATGTAACAAACAAGAAAAGGGTCAGAAAAAATTAAAATTTGATCTCATTAATCTGCAATTATATTATAGAAAATTTTGAAGATAAATCAAATTTTGTGCAAAATTTCGGATAAAACGAATCAAGAAAAGGATCATTATAGATCAGTTTTTGAACTCAAAATATGCAAGAAAATTATAGAATTTCATCGATATTTTGGTCTTTTTGCTGGGTCTTTTTTATGCTACAATACGCTATGGATGTAAAATGAAAAATGATAGGCAATAAATAAATGCAATAGAAATTCGAAACTGATAAATCTCGAATGAAAAAAATCGATTTAAATCGATTTTAATCCGTTTTAATCCCCTTAAAAATAAAAACAAATTCAGACTGAAAAAAGGCATTTAAATTGATTTAAAATCGATTTCGATCAGTTTTTTTAGCTGGGATTTAAGATCAATTTAAATCGATTTTAAATCGATCAAAATCAATCTTCATCTTTTTTATTTAATCTTCGTACTTTTTTCATACTAAAATCGATCTAAATTTAATCAACGTAATTTTTTCATACTAAAATTGATCTGAATTTAATCAACGTACTTTTTTCATACTAAAATCGATCCTAATCCATTTTTGTCAGTGCGGGTACTGCTAGCATGAGCTTAATTTAGTAGTAAAATGTTGGAAAATTTGCACAGTTTGTTTGAAAACGCATATAATGTATAAAGCAACGTAAAACAAAGACAGAAACACTCTGGCGCTGCAGCAAATGGAGATTATACAAGTGCACGAAAAGTTAAATCACAGAAGGGCAAAAATATAAGTTCAAATAACCTTGAGATGCGGAGATAACCCAAACTCTGAACAAAAGCAAGCAGACGAAATCCCAGTTCACCATAGCCACATAATCTGCATAACACCATGACCGCCATTTGGATATCCCGGATCGCTTTAAGCAGTTTTATCTTTTCGATAGTGGAAACCAAAATGCGGAACGCACTCTAGTTTTTGGCGATATTGGAAACCTCTTCTTTTTCAATTTGTACAACATATACCTCTGGATTGGAGGTTATTAACAACTGCTAACGGCGTCTAAAAACTGCTCAGCAAAAAACGCTTATAAACCTATAACAGATTTTTAATTGCTTAAATTGCTCAATGGTGGCATTATCCCGAAACGATTTCTGATCGGCTTTGAAATTGCGGCGTTAACTGGTTTTTCGTCTAATTACTAAACCGACGAGACTTTCAGGGATCTTCAGATAAGAGATCAAAGGAAAGAGCCAAAAAATTGGTTAATGCTGACATATTTAGCTTTTTAGGCTAAATGCCGCTCCGTTGTTATCACCAGTTTGACCTGTAGTGGCTGATTTTAAGATGTCTCTTAAATCATGTAGATGTAAGAGGTATATAAACTTGTTTTATATTTTGACAAATTCTAGTGGATTATGACTTCCTCGACTGACCTTTGTGACTGGGTCTGAGGTGTCTATTGTAGTCAGCAGGTAAAGCGAGATTGTTGGCATTGTGCACGACATAGCTGGCGCTATTGTTGTTTTGCCCCCCTTTGGTGGTCCCACACTTGACAAGCAGCAAAATAAGCAGGAAATAGTTAATCATAATCCAATTTAGGATGAACCAGTTCTGGTAAAACATTCTGGGAAAATTTAATTCTGACGTTTGGAAAATTCAAAACGATTGGAATAACTGCTTTCTCTTGTCATGTAAATGATGAAGCGTCATTAAATATAAAAACCACACGGAAAATTATTATTTGAATGTTTTTTGAAGCTTCACAATAGCAAATTTTTTTCTTAAATAAATCTGTCACGCTGATGTTTCAATAAAAAAAATCTGACAAGGATGAAATCGTAAAGGAAAAAAATTGGTAAATAATCGACCATTAAATGAAGTAGTTACTAGGCTGGCATTAAAATAATGTGAATAACGAGGATTTTCTATCTATGGAAATTGAATTACATTTTTTTTTCACCAACGATGAAGATTTAAAACGATTGGAGTAATTGTTTTCGCTTGTGTTGTATGTATAAACCGAAGTGGCATTAAATATTTAAACTGCTCCAGTGTTTTTGGTAAGAAGGAATAATAATTTTAAATTCCCAGCAAAGATCGAATATTGCACCATCCAAATGTTAATAACATCCGATGCAAATCGATTTTTTTTTATTTGTTGGAGCTCCCTTTAAAAGAGTTACTGAAAGGAACATTTTGATCTGAAATAGACGACACTAGTTCTAAATCAGTGCTACATACAGTTGTTAACAAAAGCACACCAATGAAAAAAAGAATACTAATTTTAATATTTTATGCTGGCTCATCATCCAAATATGTATTAAAGTTAAGGGTAACATAACGACATTGTTTTCATTGGAGCTTCTCGGTTGGGTTAGCCCAAAATTTTTTTTATTGGATTTTGAAAGTGGACATATGGTTATTTATAATTAAATATGCAACTGCTATAGTCAGCTTATCCCGTTGATGAAACAATAAATAAAAATAACAGTTGTCGGCCGATAAGCTCTCTTCAAATTAAAAGCCTGGAGTTCATCAGTTGACCTGCTATCATCACTTTTCTCTCTTTATATATTTCTGTTCAGCAGTTTTTTTTAATCTTTTGGTTAATTTGTATTCATGTTATATAACTTTTTTCTTTTGGTTAATGCTTTTTATTTTTTGGTTATTTGATATTCACTGAAATGATTTCATGTAAAATTTTTCTTTTGTTCTTTGGAATTTTTTCTTTCAGATAATGACAATTTTTTCAGTTTAGCCAACCCGTTTGGCCCTAAATTCAACGAAGCACTGAAAAGAACTCAAACCTGGTATGAAATTGGCTCCAGGCCTCCTACTAAGATTTAAAATGAACAAAGTGTAGCGCTATGGTCAACTCTGAGCTGATTTATTTATTGGTTGATTTGCATCCTTGGGCCATAGAATGAAATAACAGCAGATATCAGTGAATGCAATGCCATAAAGCCACTGATAATAACAACACAAATTTCAAAGACAAAACTCTTTGGGTGCTGGTGGGCAAACATTCAACAGTGCCAACATCCGATAGTACAAAGGAATAATAAGTTGTAATACTAATGAAACCTTTCACAAGTTTGATCGAAAAACGGAAAGTTTTTTTCAGCCTTTTTATTGTCATTTGTAAAGTAAAATTGTGTTTAGGTTGTTTGCATAATTGGATTTTTGCAAAATTTTCTTCTCTCAAATTCTGTTCTGGACCATTAGTTGCGCACTGAGCTGAAAAAACCATTTGATGAAAACTTGAAATCATGATTTGATAATTTAGCACAAGTACTCGAATCTTTCTCAAAACCTGAGCTAAGCTTATATTGAAAAAGAAGTGGTTGAACCCAAATAACTTTGAATGCGTCATTTTGGAAAGTTCTTCTAATTCGAGTGCATGAAAACCAAAACTCCTATAATATGATGGGAAAATTGCTTGAACAAGTTTAGCACCCTAAACAGAAGAATTTTCTCAAATGACTGATACTGCTCATTGAGATCAACATCATGAATTTGCGAGGGGCTTATCTAAGGTTTTCTCGAGGAAGATTGCAAGGGGCTATTCTAAGGTTTTCTCGAAGAAATAAATTTTCCGAGCTTTACCAAATCAAATGAAAAAATTTACTTTGCCAAAAAAAAATGGATTCTGGATTCAATTAGTTAATTTTTTGTGGTGCAGTTTCCGCAAGTTTATTAATTTGAAAAACAATCATTGAAATTACTTTATATCATTAAATCAATAACTGGAATTCAAAACCGATTGCATATTTTACAATTGAGTTTTCTAAAAGTTTTTCGGAAAACTTCCGAAAACTTATTTCAAATAATTCCTCTGCTCCAGAAGCTTGATTGTGATTTTAAAAATGGTTGTGCATTCTGCTAGGTAAAATCAACCAAAATTTACAAGCTCAGTTTTTTTACGTGAGTGATATATACATTGTTGAATCAATTCGAATAGATCGCAAGAAATATCAATACTGATAACCTTACCATATTTGATTTTGCTTTCAGCAAATGAACTCAATTTGACAAAATTTTTAAAAATTGATCCAACTTTTTTCTCTAGTAGAGTGTTTAGTATTCAACTAGCCTCTTTTGGTGGAGTTTTTTTTATACTATCTTAAAAATATTGATGTATTGAGCTCAAAATTTAACAAGACTGCTCGTATCAAGGCGAAGCCCTGAATGTACCGACTGCCTTTTAAGGTTTTATGGAGCGGTAATAACATTAAAAAATTAAATGTAAGAAAAAATAAAATTGTTTTTTCCAAAATTTGAAATTTTTCATGAAAATCATCCCCCCACACGCCATATAAAATCCAAAAAGATAGATTTCACTCCTTGTAACAAATCAATTATGGAAAATAAGCTTCTTTCAACCAATTTGGAATGATTTTTAAGACGGATTAACTCTCCGCTCACGCGTTAATAGCGCGAAGTATATCGCGCGTTAATTGTCCCAAATTGGCCAAAATGGCAATCTTTAAACCCCCATAACTTTACGAAAAATGATCACAGGTGAAATATCTTTTCAAATTTGAGCTCAGGACAACAATACCTTTTGAATGATATAAAAAATTTCTGTCAAAAATGGCTAGTTATAAAGTCGAAATTTGTCTGAAGAAAAAAAAACCGACCCCGAGCACAAATATTCCGTTACTTTCGTATCGAAAGTCGGAACAAAAACTTTTTATCTTTGATTATTTATTTGAAGTTATGGGGGTTTGTAAAATGTCATATCATTTTAGCCAATTTGGGACAATTAACGCGCAATGTATTTCATTTTACAACTCGAAGGCAAAAAAATCCGGCTCTAAAATTTTTCCAAGGAAATGTGAGACTGGAAATTAGTCTAGTTGTTTTGTTACTTTAGCGAACTCTTTCATTTTGTACTTTATATGGCGTGCAAAAAATGATTCATCACCCTCTCTGAAACAGCTCATATATTGGTAAAAGTTTTCCGTTAATTTAAAAGTCAACTCATAGACATTATAAGGCAATTGGAACAGTCTTGACTTTCGAAGAAAAAGACGGAATATTTGTGCTCGGAGTGTTTGGTTTCTCCAATGCATATTCGAGTTTTTAACTAGCCATTTATGATGGGATTAATTTACATCGTCTGAAAAATAATGATGTCTTAAGCAGAAATCTAAAAAAAAAAAACATTTTTCGTTTAATTATTTGTTGTAAATATATGGGGTTTGAAAGTTACCAATTTGGTCAAAATGGGATAATTACCGCACGATTCATTCGCGCAAAATCAGCGTAATCGGGGAGTTAAACCAACTCAAGTTGAATTTAGGCAAGCAAGGTGCTCTTAATAATGCGCTACCAGGCTAAAAATACGTCAACTTGCACTTAACAAAGCGTTAAGAGAGATAAAATGAAGAAACCAAAAAAAATCTGAAGAAACAAATTAACTGAATTATAAAAATTTTCTTCCTGATAAATGAATCCTTTTTGGCACCCGCACAAAACCAAATGGCAGTTTTTCTTGTCGATTTCGGAAACCGTTTTCAGGACAATTTTTTATCAGAGTCAGGTGATGGTTTAGATTGCAGCGGACGTAGCCTCATCAGCTTTTCAAACCCCTCCCCACACAAAGGGTCCCCTTTTGGTTCTATTTCACGACATCCATTTATGGCAGACTGACCCTTAAGGTTTCCAAAAGTTCCTAAAAACGGAATTTTGACCTGTTTTTTGAAAAATTTGGTGCAGAAAAATTAGTCGAAAAAAGGTTGCTATGGTGTTTTTCGAGAGCTCGAAAAATTAGTTTGGCCTTGAAAATCTCCCCTCGAGAAAATGCTAGATCAGCACTATTTATGTCGAAACATCGATATCAATGAATTGAGCGGAATGATGAGGAAATTCTAGCGATTCTCCTCAGCACGGGCTATTCTGCTCAAAAAAGGTCATAAAAGTATTTAAATTTTCCTACCTCAGAGTTTTCCTATCTTACCATGGGAAAAATTGTTAGACACCTGGACCTTGGGAAACTGCCACACTCAAGTGAACTGTTAGGAGTGAAGTTTGTGTTACATCAAGATCATAGAACAGTCAGAAGTGTTTGTATATTTATTTTGGATTTAAGTTTCGGTCCAATCAGTCTATTTGAAAAATGAACAGGGAATATGAATAATGAACATGTTTTTTAAAAATTCAATATCGGCTGCAAAACTCCACGACTATAAGACCATATTTTTGCTATCAAAAACATGATCGCATTATCAATAATGGATTTCAAATTTAAAGACAATGGGTAATTGAAGTGAAATCAAACAAGACTGCTCGTATCAGGGCGAATCCCTGAATGTTCCGACTGCCTATTAAGGTTTATGGAGCAGTACTAACCTTAAAAAATTAAAAATAAAATAACAAAATGAAATCATGCACCCACACGCCATATAAAGTACAAAAAGATAGATTTCGTTCCTTGTAACAAATCATTTGCGGCAAATAAGCTTCGTTCAACCAATTTGGAACGATTTCTAAGACGGATTAACTCTCCGCTTACGCGTTAATAGCGCGAAGTATATCGCGCGTTAATTGTCCCAAATTGGCCAAAATGGCAATCTTTAAACCCCCATAACTTTACGAAAAATGATCACAGGTGAAATATCTTTTCAAATTTGAGCTCAGGACAACAATACCTTTCGAATGATATAAAAAATTCCGCCAAAAATGGCTAGTTAAAAAGTCGAATTTTGTCTGAAGAAAAAAAAACCCACCCCGAGCACAAATGTTCCGTTACTTTCGTATTGAAAGTCGGAACAATAAGCAGAAAAAATTTTAAAGTATTTAGCTTGAACAAATACAATCGTGATGTTTTGTATAAATTTTCAGAAGTAGATTATACAGCCATAAAATTTTTGAGCAAACTTTCACTTCTATTGTTTTTTTTCAGATTGAATCAATTTGCATAAAAAGCAGTCGCACCTCAAACGTTTGCTTTGAATCGGGTTGAAAAACTGTTGTTAGAACACTTATTGAACGCGACTGTAATTCAAAACTACTGCATTCTGTAGTCCCAGCAATTTTGTCGACTGATCAGCAATGTCATAAATACTCTATCTGATAATTAATTACAAAAAAAACAAAGGAGCGGAAAAATTGGAAACAGGTTGCTGGCATGTGAAAAACAATAAATCTATAACAATTCGAAGTGAGGCTCCATGGATAATAATTGATTGTAATTGATTTTTGTGGTCAAAAATATTGGCATTATAATCGACTATAAATTACGATTTAGGACCATGCAACCGATTATTATCCATTATATTTCAATAAATTTAGAGAAAAAAATGATTAAAATCCATATACAATCCATCATAATGGATTACAATGGATTATAATATCTATAACTTTTTCTTTTCTGCAAAATTTTGAGCTTTTCTTGCATTACTCACAGCCTACTCGATTTTTAAAACATTTAGTTACTTACATTTAGTTAAATTTTGCAAAACCATTTTTTGCACCTGTCCTCACCCCCACCCTCGCCACCACCCCCCCACACCTACAAACCTACCCCCACCCCACACCTAGCCCCCCACCTGCCCCCACCACCTA